CTTGCTTGTTTATGCCTTTGAATTCACCCTGTGTTTCATTAAAGAGCCCTCCTGGACTTAAACCTTGCTTTGTTAGTCTGGACTGTGCCTTGCATGTTTCTTTTGTCTGCTACACACACTGTTAATGTTGAATTTATCAGTCCAACATCCACACCATCATGGAAGAAACATGGATTGGGTATGAACTTCTTAACTAGCTCCTGTTACACACACTGCAAGGTCTATAGTGCATTAAAGGAGTCAGCGCAGATTGGAGGTGGGATGTTTCCCTGAATTATGCCTCAATCAACTCTCAAGTGCCTGCAAAGACCTGGAGCGCATGGTGGTGCTCACCCCAAGCATATCAAGCATATCCCTGGGGAATTCAAGACACAGCCCAGGCTCAAACTGCAGAAGTCTAAGCTATAGAACTCAACAAGGACAATAAGCAGGTGCCCTTACTGGCTGAGTCAATAGGACACTCATGGCAGTCTAAGCTCTTCACGTCTCTCAGATTGTCTCTGACCTTGGACTGCAGTCGGTCTGTTCCAGTGATGAACTGGGGGTGTCCTGACCCTGCTCTGGCCATGCCTGTGATCAAGGAGCTGGAGGCCCCTTCCCCAATCCCAAAGGTAAAGCACCTGGACACCACAACACAACATTACACTACAAACTGAATGGGATACATATATGTACTGTAATACGTACTGTATGACCCATTAAAACCTTCACCTTCACAACAAAACATACATCAATCGACTGGATTTAATCATATATTTCAAACACAGTTATTAAATAAAATCACAGAAAATGTGAATGAGAATAAAGTTCAAGGAGACATGATGAGTTTTTAGTATGAAAGGTGAAATACTGTCAAAATGAAAACATTACAGAGGTAGTATCACTTCTGATCATCCCTGATGCACAGATCTGAGTAAAAAAATAATTGTGTAATTGTGCGTGTTCTTAGTGTGACGTTTACAAGTATTATTGAATTGTTTCTATAGTTCTGCACCAAGAAACCAACCTCAGCTTCCTTGTATATGTAACATACATGGCACATAAAGTTATCCTGATTTAATATTAAGTTAATTAAGTTTATTATTAGTGTTGGGCAGGCATTTTCCAATCCTACCAGAACTGACTTGTGAAGCACTCCCTGCAACATAATCCCCCAGTTTAAATACTACTCAACTACTCTACACATACACATCAGCCAGGATATCAGTGTCGCTCTGGTTCATACAGAACACCATCAGCCTGTCCTGCTTGTGCACATCCCATTTAATAATAATAATAATAATAATAATTGCTTACACTTATATAGCGCTTTTCTGGACACTCCACTCAAAGTGCTTTTACAGGTAATGGGGATCCCCTCCATGCCCACCAGTGTGCAGCCCCACCTGGATGATGCGATGGCAGCCATAGTGCGCCAGAACGCTCACCACACATCAGCTCTCCGTGGGGAGGAGAGCAGAGTAATGAAGCAAATTCATAGATGGGGATTATTAGGAGGCCATGATTGGTAAGGGCCAATGGGAAATTTGGCCAGGACACCAGGGTTCTACCTCTTTTCAAGAAATGCCCTGGGATTTTTAATGACCACAGAGAGTCAGGACCTCAGTTTTACGTCTCATCCGAATTCCGGCGCTTGTTTACAGTATAGTGTCCCCGTCACTATACTGGGGCATTAGGCCCCACATGGACTGCAGGGTGAGCGCCCCCTGCTGGCCCTACTAACACCGCTTCCAGCAGCAACCTTAGTTTTTCCCAGGAGGTCTCCCATCCAGGTACTGACCAGGCTCACACCTGCTGAGCTTCAGTGGGTTGCCAGTTGTGAGTCGCAGGGTGATATGGCTGCTGGCTTCATTTACTCATGAAGTGCACCATTCGTGCCATGAAGCTAGGCCCCTCTCCACAAATTATTAAGCTATATGTTAAATGTCCATATTTCTTGTGCTGCAACCCTCTCCTATGTCATTTGTTCTAACATTGACCATGAAAAGGAGATCCACCCTGGCTCTGACCAGGAGCCTGTCTGCTCGCTGAGGCAGGTCTGCAACCTGGACGCCAGGTAGGCAGCTCACCACACCAGATTCCCTGTCAGTCACGCCAACACACTGCTTAATTGTCCAATAACTGATTCTCCCACCAGAATTACCTCCCGTTCACAGTGGGCTCCTGGGTTTTCCAGGGCCCTGTCAGTTATTTTCCTCTGTTATGTCAGATCAGTCTCCAGCAAGGCGTGGGGGAGGTCCACCACTCCCCCTGTGCAACATGAACACCTCTCCCTGTAGCAGCCTACATCCACCCATTTGTCTCTCTGTCTCTAGTTAGAAGAATCCGGCTGCTTTGCTAATATTGTGCACTTAAACTCCCCTTAGGCCTGTCAAATACTTCTTGTTGCTCTGCTAGATTTGTACTGTAGGACAGGAAACTGGGTTTCTACGATCTTGTACTCACGGTTCTCATCTCTGCCCAGAAAGCCAATTACCCTTCAAACCACACATTACTCTTAATATTTACTTCTTTCATTGTCTGTTACTATGCTCGTGTAAAATCATGTTTTTTCAAATGACTGACTATACAAAATCTTAACCAGCAGTATGGCATAAAACCACAACTCAAAAGTACGTGCTGTTTTTGTGAAGTCACACTTTTGAACTCCTCATTGTGGTACCTTAAGGTATAATACCACCCAAACAAATTGACAAATGTTTCTGCTCATGTAGCGGAGCTAGTGTGGTGACGTCAGCGCCCTCACTGTGCATAGCAGGGTCCTCAGCTGCCTGGGCTGAGGGAGGTCTCCTTTAGCTCAGGCGGTTGGTGCCCTGTTGCGTTACGCAGGTGTGGGGGCCGGAACGGGCGGTGGGGGGCACGACCCCGCGCGGAACCGTGACTGTCACACTCACTATGTTTAAAACACAAATAATATGATGTACTGTAACAATGCGAGAGTGGGAGGAGCCACGGCGAACACCAGTAAAAATTGACACCCCCCCCCCCAAGGTTGCGGAGGCACCGGTGTGAGGTCAGCAAAAACAAAACCAAGGGAAAAGGAGGAAAAGCACACTGCTTTGCACAGTGTCGTCCATACTGAAATATCCATATCTAACATGGTCCAGTCTGGGGTAAAAAGAAACCAGCTGGCACAGCGGCCGCCAGTCTGGACTATCCCTATTTAGTGGGGTGCTAACTGGAAGAAAAGGAGCAAGGCCGAAACAAAAGAAAACTCAACCTGCCCCAGTGGGTCATCACAGCAGGACAGGAGAAAAGAAAAAGAAAATATGCCCTTTAAGACACACTGAGCACCTCCACAGAGGGACGAGCAGAACCCCGCAAGGGGAGGACTTTCTGCTCACTCCACAGCCCCCTCTGGGACTGTCGCTGGAAGGTCCTCCCCTTGCGGGGTTCTGCTCATCCCTTTGGGGAGATGCTCAGTGTGACTTAAAGGGCCCCATAGCTGCATCTCGTCCTTAATCAGCCAGGACTGCTGTGGTTGCTAAGGCAACGCGTCGTCTTTAATCCAGGGCTCCGCCTCCCCACTTAACATGTCCCGTGTTCTGCCACAGCATGTACCAAATAAGTAAAAGACACAAAATTTGAACTGTCAAGTTTCAATTTTGCATTAGAATATACAGAATAAATATGTTATCCCAGTGGTCATTATTTTACCGTCATATCATTTGGCAAATCTAACTGTAACAATTTATCAGACACACCTGTGAGAGAAAGCATGACTCCTCACAAGGTCAATCACTTCTTTAGTGTTGCTCACTTCTCCGTCGGTGAACACAAAGAGCTGAGAGGGAGAGTGTGAAGGACAGCAGTGTAGGAAAAGGGGTGAAGTTATGAAGAGAAAGGGAACCAGGCAAAAAAGAGATAAGAATAGTGAATGGTGAGCGACTACAATACTACACACTGCATAAGTATTTCAGTTGTTGAAGCACAGTTGTGATTGACCTGAAAGAATACAGATAAGATTCTCAAATTAATTACTTCAGACTTGTAAAAAGGACAGTCATTTCAATGACTCTGCTCTCTAGGAAATAATTATAACAATTATTTTTGTCCTTGCTTAATAATACATTAGAATTATGGGATTGTACCAGATTTTTAATATAATATGGACAGAGAGTTGTCCTGTCCAGCCCCACTGCAGTGGGTGACAATAGACAGAGCTATCCTGTATAGCCCCAGTGCAGTGTGTAACAGTAGACAGAGACAGAGCTGTCCTGTCCAGCCCCAGTGCAGTGGGTGACAGTAGACAGAGCTGTCCTGTCCAGCCCCAGTGCAGTGGGTGACAGTAGACAGAGCTATCCTGTCCAACCCCAGTGCAGTGTGTGACAGTAGACAGAGACAGAGTTGTCCTGTCCAGCCCCAGTGCAATGCGTTACAGTAGACAGAGCTGTCCTGTCCAGCCCCAGTGCAGTGTGTGACAGTAGACAGAGACAGAGCTGTCCTGTCCAGCCCCAGTGCAGTGTGTGACAGTAGACAGAG